AGGAGGAGGAGAAGAAGAAGAACAAGAAGAAGAAGAAGAAGAAGAAGAAGAAGAAGAAGAAGAAAACCAACACACCATCCAGCACAAAGTGCATACACAAAAAAATTCGATGGCAACAAGGCTAGAGGGCGACCGAGAAAGACCTGGCGAGATGGAGTCAGGGAATCATTAACCACCCACGGCATCCCCCTGACCCAAGCTCTCCGGCTGGCAACAGAGAGACGTCTCTTTCTTCTCGCGACACCCAAAAGGGTATAAACGCGGATAAAAGTAAAGTAAAAATGAATACGCGCTCTCGACTAATTACACTTATAATTTGATAAGACTGAAAAACACGTGTTGGGTATGCATGAATGAATGCAATAATACAGGAATGAATATATGAATAGATAAGTCTTATGGCAGTTAATAAATATGTACACGGATAGGATTTTTTCTAAAAAATTGATAGTGAATTGAGGGACAAAGACAAATAGTTCATGAACATTTAATAAACAAAAGACAAAAAGTTTAGTAAATGCAATCACACAAAACAAGAAAATTAACAACTAGACTGACTTTCATGTCAAGACAATTCAGAAGATACAAAACAACAGTAATATCTTAGCAAGTTTTCTTCTTCGACGGTAAATTTTCATAAATCATGCAATGATGCTCTTCGCTTTTAGCACCATAGCGCATTTTGTATCAAAGACCACTCCGAAAATAAATATTTAGTGTTGGATTCTGACAGAATTTTGTCAATGCACTTTTCCAACAGTCTGCAAAGCATTTTGACGCTATTCATCCACAGTCTGCAGCTGGTGTGTGTGTGTGTGTGTGTGTGTGTGTGTGTGTGTGTGTGTGTGTGTGTGTGTGTATGTGTGTGTGTGTGTATTTGTGTACGTACATGAGTGCATGTGTACGTATATGAGTAAGTACCTGTGTGAGTGCATACGTGCGTGCAGTGTGTGTGTGTGTGTGTGTGTGTGTGTATGTGTGTGTGTTTGTATTTAGCTTGATCTATAGATGCGTAGATTACAGGATACACATATCTCATTTCAAGCAAGTTGATTCATCTATCGCTTTTATTTGAGTACTTTATACCTGCGTATTTTCTATTGGTTGATCTATTTATTGATGTACTGTTAAACTGATGATTGACAGACGGAGCGAGTTCGACTGATGGAGAGATCACTTTTCAGCGGGCGATATTGTTTTATTGACAATCTGCTTCAAAGGTGAGAGCTTGTTTGTTTGTTCTTGTTTTTGCTTTGTTTTTGTTCTTGTTTTTGCTTTGTTTTTGTTTGTGTGTGTGTTTTTGTTGTTTGTTTGTTTGTTCGTTTGGATTTTTATTTCGTGGTTTTTTTTGTTGGG